ATTATAAAGGAAATAAAAGAATTCAAAGAACTAACTCATACATTTAACCTAATGTGTAGTACGTATATATGTATATATAAGGTTAAATGTATGAGTTAGTCCTTTTAATTCTTTTATTTCCTTTGTAATAATGATCTAATGACGTTTGGTTGGAGGATTCAAACCATGTGATTTGAATCATTTTCGATTTACGTGAATTTTTTATGAGAAAAAATACTGTAGTGAATCACGAATTATGATTCGAATCAGGAAACGAATCCTGACAAATCCTCCACCCTATTCTCTTCGATGCTGTTTCACTAATGGTTGTTAGGGAATGACTAGTAAAGTTTTTTTTGTTTTTTTTTTTGTTTTTTGTCTTTTACGGTGCTTACACTGACTTTATTTTAATTCTAAAATTTCATCATATTTTAATTTAAATTGGAAACCCACAATTTTATTTATTTATTTATTTATTTATCAATTGTGGGTTTCCAATCTTTCAGAAAATAATAATAATAATAATAATAATAATAAATAAATACATCAGAAGTTATTTTTTGTTGCACCACGTGTTTATACATCAGATTACAGTTGGTCCTAACTTTCTGTTCTATGACCTTTTATATATTTGTCAAAGGAGCAAAAATGGGATTTTTTGTTTTGTTTTTGTTTTTGTTTTTGCTAATCAATAATGGGATTCATTTAACTTGCTTTTGTGCACACATATTGCGTTTGATTTGTCCTATGTATCACGTAAGACAAATATGCATGCTTAACCACTACAATTCTATTTGGAAAAGAGCGAAAAAAAAAAAAAAAAAGTTTCCACTTGTGTTAATTATGCTCTCGTTTTCCAAAATATCCGAATTCTACTTTTCGGCCATTATTATCCATAACGCAGACTACCATTCAAATTTAGATTTCCATGCGATATGTGGTGCATTATTATAAAGAAGATATCATACGGACAATGCGAGAAAAATAAGGGAAGTTACATAGAAAGTGCAACTTTGTCTGTTTATCAAATTATCAAAAATAAAATAAAATTAAATTAAAATTGGGTGTTTATACTTTAAATATTCACGCTCCAAAGGGCTAGTACTGCGTATTGCAGCTCAAAACCTGAGCCATCAATTTTGCAGCAAAGTGCTAATTAACATTAGATGCTTGTCTTCTCAGTCAAATGAGTTTGGGTTAATTTCATAAACCGTTCCTGAACTTTATTGTCAAACCGATGATTCGAGTTTAGAATTCGAATTTTACTATAGTAAAAAGCTCTCAGAAACAATCACATCTAACTTTTTTACTACAGTAAAAAGCTCTCACACAATATCACATATTAACTCGAATTAGCGAACCGAACGGGCCTTAATCTTTAACTTTTAAAACGTTTCGAATTTAATCGTTAATCAATCAATTTATTTTAATTTTAATCATTTTTATGATCAAGGTGTAAAAAAAAAATGACACAATATGCTCGTGATGCTAAAAGAAAACAACAGTTTATTAGTAGAACATGAAATAGATTGGGTGCCACTTTTAAACAACAGTTTAATCGTTGATCAATCAGTTTACTTCCATCATGTGCATACTGTTTGTGGGGTAATAAATAGATGGGTGCACTTTTAAACTTTAGTTATCCACATAAATCACGTTTATGGGTAAATTATACTTTAAAATTTTCAGCGTAAGAGTGAGGTGAGAGAAAGCTAGAGCGAGAGTCGAAAAGAGAAAGAGTGAGAGCAAGTGGGGAGAGAGAGTCTGAGAAAATTTTAAGATTTTATTTTCTTTTTAATTAGGGACATTTCTAAAATGTTAATTTAGTGTAAATCCATATTTACACACATTAGGCCTATTTAATAACTAATTATAAACCTTGGTTTATTTATTTTTGTTGCCTTTTTAATCATGCATATTTTTCTTAATCTCTCAAAATAATATCTACAAAAGGATAGACTTTTTAAATCTTTATTAGATAATATTAATTATGCAAGAAATCTATAAATTTTTAGGGTGTAAATATAACCTACAATTAAAAATTACACAATTTAATTCCTTTTTAGAGGTAAATCAAAATGTGGCTTAGTTCTACAAATATCACCTATATGGCTTATTTTTTGAATTGTGTTTATTGACAATCCGTAAATACCCCTTTAGTTGACTTTATCCTATATTTAGTTTTGGTAACTAATTTTTATATTTTTATCATAGTTGAATTTTCTATATATACATATGCACTGATCACATTTGTTTCAAAATTTGTATATTATTCATGTTTAAATTATTATTCTTCTTATGCTTTTATTATAATAATATAATAATATATTCATTATTGTGATAATATGTGTTTTATTTTCCTTATCAACCGCTTTTTGTCTATATATATATATATATTTAATTATAATCTTGCTAGTATCTTAATTATGTTGCTAGTATATATATATATTGCTAGTATGTTAATGACTCTGAGAAAGGGAAATTTTTAAATCGTGCTTTTTCAATACTTACATATTTGATATTGAGTAGAAATACCATAATTTTACGGATTTGATTCATTTAAAGAAGGTTTATAATCCCTTATATTGTGAGATAAAATGTCTACCATATTTCCTATATATTATTTTAAAATTGATTTATATAATAAATTTAAATAAACAATATAGGTCAATAATGTCGTCATACATATACATTAAGTAATATGTAAAATATTCACAAATTGCAACCATATTTTAATTCCGCAAAGATAATTAAGCCATATGTCTCATTAACCCACATAACAACTCTTTCCTTTTGTTTTGGTGGGATGAGTTGCTACGTCGAATACTGCTTAGAGGTGTCAATTGGGCCGGGCCATCCATAGACAGCCCGGCCCAGCCAGCTACAGTGGTAAATTCGGCCCGGCCCGGCCCTATATTGTTATGGGCCGAGCCGGCCCGGCACGCCAGAAGGGTCTGGGTTGGGCCTCATGTTTCAGGCCCACAGCCCAGGCACGCGAAGGGCCAAGCACGGCCCGTGAAGGCTCAGGCCCGCGACATGAAATTTTAATAAGGTTTGAGGCATTTGAGGGCCAACTAGCCGACCTATGTCATCCGATCAACCAGTCATTTTCTTGTAATTATTCATATTATTTCAATAAAATCACATTTTTTTTGGGATATATGATATATTAATTTTTTTGTCATCAAATTTGAAATTATAAAAAAAATTTTAAAAAAACTTGTTAAGAAAATTAAGTTAAGATTGAGTTTAGACATAACAAAATCTTCTGGAAGCACTTAGGTTTTGTAATTTACTTATCCTAGAATACTGCACTCTTTTTTCTTTCGCTAAGGTTTTGTCTCGATCTCCCCACGGGTTTTACTTAGCAAGATTTTTAACAAGACAGTTATTTCTATGTGCTTATTCGTATTATCTCAATTCAATAAAATCACATCTTTTAGGGGCATATGATGTATATATATATATATTAATTAAATTGTAAAAAAATTAAAAGGGCCAGGGCCCAGGCCCGACCCTAGCCCTTATGGACTAGGGCCGAGGGCCAGTGCTGGATCTGAGGGTTTCTCCTCAGGCCCGGCCCTGGCATGGCCTTGCACTGTGCAGGGCCGTGCCAGGCACAACCTAGGCCTGCCACGAGCCTGGGGTTAGAAGGCCCATGCCGGCCCAGCACGGTCCTTTTGACATCTAGTGCTGAACTAAATTGGGCCCAATAACATTATTTATGAGAGAGTCTTGCATCATGTGCATACTGTTTGGGCTATTTAGGCAATGTGTCATGACTTTAAATACATATTGAGTTTTACCATGACTACTTAAACATTCAGGCCTTGTTCATTTCACCGGCTCGAGTTTTCAGTTTTAAGTTTCTACAGTTAGAAGCTCTCAGAAAATGTCACATCTAACTTTTTCTGCTACAGTTAAAAGCTCTTAAAAAATGTCACATCTCAACTCAAATCCGTGAAGTAAACGATGCCTCATGCCTCAGTATTTATGCCATGTGGCAAACAAATATTTGATTAAGAAAAAAACCTTTAATCTTATTAGGGTTGGGTTTTTCTCTTTTTTTTTCCTCTCATTTTTTTTTTTCTTTCTTCACACCTCTTCTCTCTCTCCTCGTCTCCCCTTATCTTCTCTAGCTGGCGCATTAACCCTACATGCCGCCTTCATCTTCTTCGTGGATGAAGATCCTCCGTGTCAACTGTGGTCAGAGCTCTTCAGTTGAGCGTTGCGAATCGAGATCTGTTCACACGAGTCGAAGAGATTGGTGCATCCTCCTTTTGCCATTGTAGAGGAGATCTACAACACTGCACCTTCGAATCTACAACCACGCTCTAGATCCCTTGGGAAGGAGATCTCGAATCTGCACGCTCTAGTCCCAGTCGTACGAAGGAGACCTCTCGTCGCCGTCCTCTGGCAACAGAGAGTTTTCTTTGCGTTGATTGAAGATTGACTTTTATTTGATTTTTTGATAATTTGTGGTTCTTGTGAAGTCTTTTTTTTTATACTTTTTTGTGTATTCTTTGTGTTCTAGTGTATTTGTATTTTTTTTTTATATTTCGGCGGAGACGATGACGGCACTAACTCTTAAAACAGAGGTTTATTAGTGGATATCGACCAAGATACTGGTTAGTATCCATGTGAATACCAGTCAATGTAGAGGGATTTTTGTGTTTTTCTGAAATTTGAAGTATTCCGGCCACTATGATGGTCGGACTGCCGCCAAAATCAGTTGTTTCCGGTGTGTATCTCGACCAGATATTGATATCGTAGCCAAATACTAGCTGGTATCTCAGCCGGATACAGGTGATGAAATGGCTGTGGCAATTTATGCAAATGTTTGTCCACCCTGTATAAGTCAATCCAAGCTTAAAACTAGGGGTCTACATAAACTCAATCACCCCAAGAAAATCGGATTTCAAGTTTTATTTTAATTTGGGTTTTTAGCACATTTGCCCTGTAAATTTGTCATAATTTAGTAAATTGCTCCCTAAACTTTTAATTTTTGGCAAATTGCCCCCTCAATTTGATGCTGTCTAAATGTAAAAAGTTTGGATTTCTCCAAAAGGTAAAGCAATACAATATGGAAACCATGAACCAGAAGAGGAAAAATCATTTTGGTTCACTTAGAGTACAGTTGAGTTGTGTTAGGCACAATAATAGTAGTTGCATTAATAATCTGTTATCCTTTTAACACAATGGACTGCACAAACTAAGCTCTAAAATGGCAACGGAGGGAAAACTAATCTTGCTAAGCTCGTCACTTTCGATCATCTTCCTCTTCATCATCAGAGTCACCACTCTCACGAAACCTTGGATTCTTTTCCTGTTGGATCATATCAATTCGACATAATCAAATACTTCCCTTGAAGATGGAGGAATACGAAGGATAAATAGAGAAAAGAAAAGAGAAGTGACGAGGAAATAAAGCCAATACTGTCCTCAGAAATTACCGGTCTGGAGTCGTGATCAGAGTTCTTCCGCGATTCATGGTCTGCGCGTCTCTTAGAGGACTCATAGCGGCGATCATCATCCCGGAATCTTTTCCGTTGATAATCTGCTTTCAAAAAACAGGTCAAACAATAATTCACAGATATTCAAAAACATGTAAAACAGGTTCATCCAATTATAGAAATGCTGTTGAAGGGAATACCTCTGCCAGGCCGATAAGAACCCCCGTGACCAAGACTTCCGCCTTGTCTACCATCTGCAAGAGAAAAGATGAGCTGCTGAAACTATAATGCGCGATGGAAAGCCTACGATTAGAGCAAGCTCCAATATTTTTCCTTTGGGACGAATGGGGATTAATAATCTTTTTCGTTACAGGGATGGATAACCCAAATGATCTCACTCAACGCCCTCAAGCATGCTTCTATAGGACGATGAAAGGATCAAATGGACAAATACCATAATTAATGACCGTGACAAACTTGCTGATTTCTGTCAAGCCAATGCCATTGAAAAAAATCGAACATTTGAAAGCAGGGTGCGTACACAAAACTATGTATTTATTATGTGTACATATAATTTTGATCTCAAGTAATTTTTATTTATAGAAGTAAAATGTGTCCCCCATTATTCCATGAATGCTTAAAATTTAAATGAGTCCCTACGCATATTTGGACTATTTGGATGAATTGTACGGGAATTAAGATGTATGATCCTATACAGGATCTAGATGTGAGTGCAACTAATCATGCATAAACATCTCAGTAGAGGAAACTACTTGGAAAAATTATGAATAAACTAGCAGCACTCAGTCCTGCTTCAAAAAGATCTAGTACTAGATAAAGCCAAAGAAAAATATTCAACCAAACAAGTCAAGTTTTGAGCATTTTAGAGGAAAAAAAAAACTAGTCAAAGTTTTGAGCAAAAGGCATAATACACAAGTCAAAGCGATCTCTGCAACTTACAGTGAGGTGGCATAACGGGCAGGAAAGAGCCCAGCGATCCAGCACCATAATCTACAAGCTGTCTCTGAGCTTCTAACTCTCTCTGAACTAGTTTTCCATAACCACCTCTACGTATAACATATTAAGGAAACTATAGAGGGTCTTTTAACTCACAAGTAAAATAAGATTATGAACCTTTTCTCGTTAAAATTATAATGAAAAGAAAGAAAAAAAAGATCTCAAAAGGAACTATCTACATCACCAATAAAATCAAATCTCAAGGAACGAAAACTACAAGTACATTTTTAAAATCTGAAATTCTAAAGGATATCTGGATCATAGTCAGTACGATACTCATCACGCACCTGCAAAATGAATCAAAAAGAAAAAGCTACATGAATCAAACACAAGATTAGAACTTGGTCAATACATGGCATCAGGAATAATAATTCACCTGTCCACCACTTCTACCTCGACCCCACTGCCTGCCCTCTTGGAATCCCCAATCAAAATCCACACGAATAGGACGATCATCAAGGATTGTTCCACTTATATATTTCACAGCATCGTCAGTATCCTCTCGAGAATAGTATCTGCAAGGACATAATTATAAAGTAGGAGAAAGAATAGCATCTCTATAAGGTACAAGACACTGATAAACTGCAATATGAAACAGTGCTATTGTAGATGGGCAAAATGCGCTTTCAATTGTGACAATCTAGAGATTTATAATTGAAAAAAAAGATGCCACATACACGTGCATATGTACAGATTAAAGCATCAGGACCATGACACAGAAATCGCAGCACTATCAATGTTGATACAAAAATTACAGGTTGGAAAACCAATCTAAAAAGGAATTACATAAATCATACAAGCAAACGGCCAGAATTTGCAGAACACTTGCTGCAGTATCAGAGTTTCAAAGTTTGGCTCTTCAAGCCATTGGAAAACCATAATGCACTCTGATTCTTGGAAAACCATAATGCACTCTAATTCTAAAAAACACCATGATTGCAACTTCAATAGACTAAGAAACTACTGTAGCAGGAACTGCATACATATTATCACCTAAAGAATAAAAATTAATTGGAACGTATCCAGTTATTAATACAATATTTTCAGATATATATTGACAGAATAGGCCTTCAGCATGCGAGAAAACATTACTTATTACAACAAGTTATAGTTTAAAGACTCATTCTAAGAGAACATCAAGAACAATTTTACGAATTGCAAAATGATTCACTTCGAAGGCGTCAACGACCTCTTTTAGTAAGGACAAGGTATTAAGGATTTTAAGAGGAATGAAGACTTACAGTACAAAACAAAAACCACAAGGCGTTTTTGAATTCTTATCCAATCCCATAATTATCTTCTTAATTTCTCCAGCACGGGAGAAAAGCTCATAAACTTGCTCTTCTGTTGTATAAAAGGACATATTCCCAATGTAGACAATAGTTGAGGCCAGAAGTGCTTGTTCAAATTCCTCTTGTGACCCAGGAAATCTTCTATCCCGATATACTGAAAGCTTGGATGGATCCTAAAGACAATAAACAAAGAAAAATTATCAAAATGCAGATAAAACAAGAGTAATTATGACAAAACACAGAGACATAAATAATATTAAAAAAATTATTTGAAACACGATTCCTCAAAGAAAACTATAATCTGGCTAAGTTAAACCACAAATACTGCACTATGATTTTTTCTTTTTAAGTCAAAGAGCCATTGCCAAATTAAATCTGAAACTCTTATGGATGCAGAAGAAATTTGGGTAGAAAAAATAAATAATTAAACAAGAATAATTATGAATATGAAACCCAAGGAAAATTTCACTTTAGTATTCAGTATCCCCAACATGAGAAAGCAGAAGCAATTACTAAACTAAACTTTGAAAGAAATTGGCTTAAAACCTCAAAAAACTTCTATCAAATTGCAATATAATTTTTCTTTTAATCGGAAACAAATATGAAATGTTACAAAACCTTACCTTGAATAGAGAAGCCATCACAGGTCGTAAATTGGGACAGAAAAAAAAGTTCGAGAACCAGCTCCACAATCAGCCAAATCTACACCGCAAATTTCAAAGCCACTTCATTTCTACCAAAAATAAGATTTCCAAGTCAAAAGTCCAAAAACATTGCTCATAAATAGACGTAAAGCTTTAAAAAGCCTAAAATCGCAAAATAAAATCGTTTCTAGTAAGGGTAAAGAAGAGAAATGGATTATTTACCTTTTTGTACCCTATCTATCTTTTAGGTTTATTCAGAAACAAAACCCTCAGTTTCTTATCTCAACAAAGATATAACATCAAATTTCATTTAATACATCAATTCATATTTTTTTCCCAATCAACACTCAATTTTGACCTCAAAATGCCTAAAAATGCCCTTAAAAAAACTAAGAAATTCTAATTAAAAAAAAAAACCAAAAAACAACTTAAATAGTTTTCAACACTTGCAATATATTACATCAACTTTCATTGCACTAAAACATAAAGCACAAGCATCATATTGAACATCACAAAGTTAAATAAGCAAAAGTCCAACAAACGCGAGTTTAAACATTGAGGCCTCGTTCACTTCGCGGATTCGAGTTGAGATGTGATATTTTCTGAGAGCTTTTCACTGTAGCAGAAAAAGTTAAATGTGATATTTTTTGAGAACTTTTTACTGTAAAAACCTAAAACTGAAAACTCGAATCGGTGAAATGAACGAGGCCTGAGTCCGTTGCTTCCAAAAAATAAAAAAATAAAAAATAAAAAATAAAAAATCCAAATTTTCTCCTTGTTTTATTTTATTGTCATAACAGTTGGACTAATCTTGTTAAATCTCAACCCATTCAACTTCCTTTCACTCGAGCAGATTGACTCAGAATCGATGAAACTGTTACGAAATAATGGAAACAAAGAAAGTTGCTCACTGGGGACTTTAATCAAACACTTAGAAGGCAGAGCCAAAAACAACACTCCCAAACAATTTTAACACACAAGCCTTCATTTCCCCACAAATTTCAACAACTTTCTGAACAGACCCCATTACCAAAACAAATCAACTTCATCAAACTAACACATAAAATGCACACCTTCTCCACACCCAAATGCTCAACGCAACTTTCTTCACAAATCTGTCAGACTAACCTCCAAAAACCAAAAGCCTAACTTCAACCTCGCTTCTGTCGGCTGTTAGAGAGAAACAAAGGGCCAGCTTAAACAAAAACAAAAACAAAAAACAAAAAACAGACAAAAAAGACAAAAAAAAAAAAAAAAAAAAAAAAAAAAACTTAAAAAAAAAAAAAAAAAAAAAAAAAAAAAAAAAAAAAAAACTTGAACAAAATGAAGGTTTCAATAAAAAATCAAACTTTCAGGTAAAAAATCAAACTTTCAGAGCTATGGCAGGGGGAAAAAAATGCAAGACATTTTTCACAGAGAAACTAAACTTGAACAAAGTAAAATGAAAAATTCAAAGCTGAGAAGGTACCTGGTCTTGGTGAAGAGCGAGAGGCGGCGTTAGGACTGGTTCCGAAGAAAATCCCCAAATTCGAAACTGAAATTTTTGGGGAGGATTCTGGTGCCGTGCAATTTTCTGTTTGGAAGCTTAGATTCAGAAAACAGTCCGACAGCATAGTCCGGTCTCTCTGAGCGCGTTACGTGAGGCAGAGACGAGAGCCTATGGAGTGTTCATTTTAACAAAAAAAACAGCACCTTGTTGTACTCAACTATTCGGTCTTCGACCATTTGGAATGCAAATATTTTTTTACAGTGAAATGATGATTTTACTCTCAATTTACTGCTCCTTTCTTTGTCTGCTGCAGGGGCCTTTTGGTCTTTTGAATGTCATTTTTGGCCTTTTCCTTCGTTTGTGTTTTTTTTGTCCCTTTTTGCTTTTGTTTTTGTTTTTCCCTTTATTTGCGCCTCTTTCTCACACCCTTTCTTCTTCTGTTTTGTTTGACTGTGCTTCTCTTCGGTTTCTTTGTGCTCTTGGAAATCTGTATTTCTCACTTTTTTCTCTCAATGTTTCCGTTTTATTAGTCTCATTTGGCCGTAAATTTTAGGATTATATGCATTTTCTCTCCATTTGTTTGATATGTTCGGTTTGGTCCCAAATTTAGGGCTTTCGTTTTCCTTTTTCATTGGTTCCTTCCTTGCTTTGGGTCATTTTCGATTGATTTAGGTTGAAAATTTGAGGGATCTTATGGGTTTTTTCTTTGTTCGTTCTTTTCCTTTGATTTGGCCAAAAATTTGGGGCTTTTATTTCTTTTTTCTTCTATGTTTTCAGCTGCTTCGATTTGTGATTCATGTCCGATTTTCATTATGTTTCCTCTCAATTGTTTTTCGTTGCTTATAATTTTGTTCCAGTGCATGTTTTCCCCTTACTTTTGTTCGGTTTTTTCTCATTTATTTTTTCCCGTCCCTTTTTTCCCCTTCATTTTTTTTTACATCATTGGCTTCTTAATATCTAATGTAATTTCCTGATCGGTAATGCATATTGTTCTGTTGATTCAGGCCCTCCATCCTCTGCTTTCATGGATTTTTTCTCGCAGGACATCTGTTTGCATGGCTGGAATTTCTTTTGCCTCCTTTTCTGCCGCGTGCGAAGTAATTTGCTCTAATTTCACTGCAAAAATATTAAATGATATGCCAATTGTCTGTAATCTGTGGTAATTTTATGCTGAGTTGTGGTGCCTATATTACTGATTTCTTTTGCTAGCTTCATCATTTGCTCTCATTTCACTGCAAAAATATTAAATGATATGCCAATTGTCTGTAATCTGTGGTAATTTTGAGTTCCCGGTTTTTGTGTCGTTTTTGCTTTTTTTCCCTCTTATTATTTTTCTCTCTCTTTCGGCCTCTTTTCTCTTACAATAACCAGCCTATTGGTTTTGTGATTTAATTAACGAATTTAAATTTTTTACTCTCTGTAAACTGACTATGCCCTATTACGTGTTGTGTTATTATAGATTGATTACTGTTTATACATGCTTTTGGTCTCTTTATTTATGAAGAGTGTTGCTTTGCATTCATTCATTGTGCTTCTCCCGTTCCTTTCTCTTGCTCTTGTCAATTTTTCTCTTCTATTTTATCCCTCATCATTTACTACTTCGTTCAACCCATGATCATTTGTTGTCGTGCTCTTTTACTCATGTACCTTTGACTACCTATCCTTATCTTTGTTTCATTTATGCTCATTTACTCCTTTGTTTCATTATCCATCATTTACTACCCTGTTTTGCTATTTCTTTACGTCTAACCATCTCTGAGTTACTCAGTGTTTGGAGTATTGCAGGTACGATTAATAGCCCTTACCCATACTTTTTTGATGTTCTTTGCCGATATTGTATATATTCCTTTCTTGTAGCATTATTGATATGTGTTGTTTTTCTTTCATCATGGCTGTTGATGTATACCTTTGTTGTTTAATTAATATCTCTCATTCATGTACAATATTGGTAAAAATGCTCCTTGATTCTTAATAAATGCTATCAATTTCTCTGGATTTTTTTTCCTCCCCGCCCTTTTTTCTCCTATCCTTTACTGCTTAAATATGTCTATCTATTTGCTTGCACTTTATTCATTTCTTAGCAATATACGTGCTTCATGTACCTCTCAGTAACATATTTATATACATATCTTATATACATGTCTCTTAGTAACATTTCTTTTCACAGTAAATAAATGTTGCTAATATTGGTCTAACCATAGTATTCATGACTGTTCTATTGATAAATTTTACAATTTATCGCTTTTTATGAGCAAGATAATTACTGTAATATGTTTATCTCATATCCTCTATGTATACTTAGTCTTCTTATTTTTTCGTTCCTTTGCTTCATGGCGATGACGATCAAAATTAAAGTTCCATATTTTGAATTCTATATGATTTGTCCAGAGATTGCTGTTAATATAGTTTCTTTTTTTTTCGATATTACCTCCTTCCGAAGGTTGACTCCACATTTCCCATTCTGTTTTTATATTATACAAACTCCTCATTTTTACTTGATTTCAAATCTTCCTATCTCTAGCTTCAATATTTGAATAGATTGCAAGGGATATTTACTTATCATATCATGTAGTCCTTTTTTCTTTTCTTTTTTCCTGTTCTGCCCCATTTAGCTTCAATATTGCATTAGGTCTTTACAGTAAAACTTATTTACATGTATCATATATTAGTTTTTCTCATTCCCTTTGTTAAGTTTCAAGCATTGAGGTACATATTTGTAACTCTCATTGCTGCAAATTCTATAATGCAATCACTATGTTGTTCTTTTCTTTGTTTTTCCTCTCTTTCTTGAAGATAATGTTTTTCACCTTCTTTAATTAAATTGCGCAGCCGGCCTCTATTCTCTTTTCAACCTTCTTATTTTCCTCTATCTCCTCAATTCTCTCTTCTGGTTTTTAATCTCATCGTATTCCCTTAATTGGTCTCTGCTTTGGTACTGTTTTTTACATATAAAATAAAATCAAAGCTTTTTGCCCCTTCTTTTAATCCACCTGGTAGCCTTTGGATAAATTCATACTTTACTCCAATCACTCATCTTTTGTGATTTATACTTTATAATTCGTGTAGTGAATATGATAACTTACTAACCTCTGTGTTTTTGTGCAGTTGCCCTTAGTTGCTAGCCACAAAATGTGTAGTTGCCCTTAGTAGGCAGCCATAAAAACACTGTAGATACATAAGTTTGCTTATTCATTGTACATTGTTGAGAATATTAAATATCTGAGCCATAATTGCTACATCAAACATTACCTCCTTTTTCTAAAGGCTGAGCCATCGTTTTCCCATTATGTTTTTATACTATGCAAACTCTTGATTTTTACTTTATTCCAAATTTTCCTATCTCTAGCTTCAATATTTGAATGGACTGCAAGGGACATTTTCTTATTTATATAATATAGTCCTTTTTCTCTTCCTTTTTCATGTTCTATCCCCTTTAGCTTTAATATCGTATTAGGCCTTTACAGTAAAACTTATTTACATGTATCATATATTGGTTTTTGTCCTTCCCTTTACTTATTGTTATTATTATTATTATTATTATTACCTTCTTAAGCTTCAAATATTGACATACAGATTTGCAGTTCTCATCGCTACAGATTCTATAATGTAGTGCTGAAATTTTAGACGGGCCGCCAGTGACCACTGAAAAGTCTAAATTTTTACCCGATTACCGAGCTCGAACTGCCTAACTTTTCAAGCTGTCCGACCCGACTCAAATTTCTCCTTGGACGGGCATTAGGCAGGCTTTGGTTGCCCGTGCCCGATCGGGCTGCCCGTTGCCCGACCGAAAATGCCTGAATTTTTAAATATTTTTTATATTATATTTTTATATTATATATATATATTACAATTTGAAATTTGAAATGAACACACGAACTATATAAAAATAAATTATTTCTTTATTGATTTTTAAATTTATAATTCATGATTGCCTCGTTAAAAATCTTACCAAGAAAAACCCAATTGGGATAAAAACTTGATAAGGAAAAAAGAGTGCAATCATTGTGGGATGAATTACAAAGTCTATACAAGATTACAATAACACTACGCAAATTACAAAGTAAATAAATATTTACAAATTACAATAATAAAATTTAATTTGAAGCAGAAGGATCGTCTTGAAAATTAAAAGTTAATCTATTAAATTCATCGATCCATTCTTGGCTTGCCGGTGAGATTGTATCGTGTAAGTATTGGTTGGAACGATCCCAATCCTTAATACACACTAAAGCTTCAACAATATCCTGTTGCAATGCGTTTGTCTGTTTTTCAAGTATTCGGCCGGTTGTACTGAATGCTTGTTCGGCTGCAACAGTGGAGACCGGGATAAAAAAAATATCCATTGACAGGTGTGTTAGGATCGGCCAAGTTAATGCTCGCGCCCTCACCACTAAACCAAATCAAATATTTCACTATTGTCTACAACTAAGCCCTCACTCAGGTACGCTAATAACTTGTTAATGCCATTGCTGTTGCCGCCACCTCTTGATGAAGATCCACTCCCAGATTCTTCTTGACCTTGAGGAGTCATCGTCGTCTTCTTCATCTTCTTACATAACCCGAAAATATTCAAGAATGAATGCGGATTGTCGTCTCGTTGTTGCGATTGTTCTACACGAGACGTGTTTCTAAACCTACTTTTATAAGAGCTATAGAGAGAAAATATTTTTTCCTTTATACTAGGAAATTGGTCAGTAGTATTGATAGCTAAAAAGTCGCCTAAGTTATCTAATCCACTTTCTAAACCATTTAACTTTAATCTATGGTAAAAAATAACACCGAAACCATACAACATGGGTAATTTAGACCAATATTTTTTAAACTTCTTTTTCATAGAGGCGATAGGAACTCTTAAAACCCCATGTATTCTAAATTCACTAAATAAAATAGACATTCTTAAAAATTTTCCTAACGCTAATGGTGATGTTGGGTAATAAGTTCCACTAATCTTTAAGGTAATTTCGTGAAATCAACCTAAAAAGTTAAACAAGAGTTCGGCAATTTGCCAATCAATTTCATCTATAAATCCTGGTCCTAATTTTGCACTAACATAATTTGTTATAGCATCTTTATAGGGGATGCATTGTTCAAGTATTATATAAGTGGAGTTCCATCTTATGGGCATATCTAAAGCTAATGCTCTAGAATTTTGATTACATGCTTGTAGAAATCTAAATCAATCTTGTATTCTTTGATTACTACCTTGATTTCAAATAA